GGGGGGGGGGGGCAACAAACACAAGCTCGTGGCCATGTCCACAGCGTTAAACCAGCAGAGGTATTACTTTGACTCAAACCCCCCACGTGATCTTCCTCCCCATCTCCCGTCGCGGGCTTTATCCCACCCACGGCCTCCCACAGTCCGCGCCCCGTGTCAATCCGCTTAGGGTGCTTGTCATCAAGACTGAGGATGTTTAACTCCCCGGGACCAAATCTCCCAACACTCCATGTCACAGCCCGGCCCCCCAGAAGACGACAAATCTCTGGCCTGATACCGCAAATGTCGCAAAGCCCCGTCGTTACAATTCTCATCTCATCTCATCTCATCCCAATTAGCCCATGCATCAATATCAGACGTTTTACCAAGGAAAAAAGAAAGATTAAAAAGAAATGATTGTAATAATATTTTAAGTCCAACAATAATTGGTGTTTTACGGTGGTAAAACTGCTGGAGTTCCGTGTCTTCGACTTCTGGCAACGCAACAGGCCAGCTCTCAAAAACCTCAAGGACTCCTCGACAGTATGTGAAACGGCACACGGTAACGAGAGTGTTAACAGAAAAACATCAAAAGTTGCCCTCGTTGAATATTACCTACACACGGTTACGTCTTTTCTTCCTGGGGCGAATCGACAGGACAACGGATCATTAAAACAAAGACAAAACAAAAACTTAACGAAAGTTGGAATGAACTCAACATTCAATTTAATCAAGCGTTCGCTAATTCTCCATCTCTCTCTCTCTCTCTCTCTCTCTCTCTCTCTCTCACACACACACACACACACACACACACACACACACACACACACACACACACACACACATTCCAAAGTTCCAGCGGAATCAGACCTGAAAGAAGTCTTCCTCAAACACAGCAGGGCTCTATAAACTTTACCTCCCACTATCACGCACTGAACGTCTGCATTCTGCATTAAAAATGCCAGCAACTATGTTCACCACGAAAAACAAAATAACACCCAAGAAAAAAAAACGTACCCAAATATCAGGACGGGCTAAAAAGAAGCAGGAATTTGCATCGAACCATCCGAAGGTATTCCACGCGAACAACCTGCTCGGCATCGGAAGAATGCACATGTATTTTGGTTGGACAAGGCAGCGCTAAGATATGCCAATGCACACAGTCATCTTGTCAATAACCTTACCCCCACGTGTTTTCTTTAAAAAAAAGAATTGTTTAAAGAACGGGAAGCCTTTCGGCCAAAGTGAAGTGCAAGGGGAAAACAATGCCCTCTTGTTCGAGGCATCAAAGTACGACAACACCCCAAAAATAACTGAAACAGAACCAGACAGCTGCACTCTATCGCCATCCCCCACCTGTCTAAAAGTATTGAAAGTTTTGACATGAACTGGCGGGAACCGATGTTCTGTCAACCTCAGACCGATCGCAGTGCGCGTGTGGAAGCATGTGAGGGTCTGTGTGCGGGCCCGAAACTTATTGTGCGTGTGTGG